ATAAATAAATGCACATGAGATTAAACACTATTATGCAATTGGTAATATGTCTTGTAGTAAGTGATATAAAATACAACGTAGTTGTAAGAAGTTATAAACATCACTGCAGGAAACCTGGATGAAAAGGGGAGAGCAATCACATAAATGTGTTTTTACTTGCTCACTTGCCATAGCAAGTTCCGGTATCAGTGCTCAAAACACCTGCACAACAGATAAGCAAAAACAGAACTTAAACAAAAATTCAGTAACATTTTCATACAATGACTAAATATTTGCATCCTCACCTGATCCAAATTCACTCATCTTAAAAATGCATGTTAGCAAAGAAATTGAAAAGCTCCAAGCTGCCAAACACTATAAACGAATAAAGACATCTAGAATAAATAATCTATTTTGCTTCAACCGCAGACTCACTCCAATGGTTCATGTACAATTATGCTTTAACCTTTGTAACTGATGTTATTTATTTCAACAAAAGTTTCACTCTTTATTCCTGAACAGCCTCAACCTTTGCTACTCCTTTGCAACTGTGCCTTAGATACTAAAGGTATCTATTCTAAAATTCAATGTGCATTTTGTCTAGGCTTGCTCCTGTGCAGGCTGCTTCCTATGGGAGCAATCTGAAACTTATTGCAGGCAGCCACAGGTGGGGCAGTGATCTGGATCTGAGCTCTGGGGCTGAGCTGCCTACCAAACAGAAAGACAAATCCCCTTCCCTTCAGGACCCTCTGAGTGACACTCATCTTAATCTTTTGCTGATTCTGTTTTGCGAATAATTCTGTTATGATTTAACTCCACTGTTAACTCCTGCCTCTAACTATGTCCCACAGATTGGCAAAACAACTCTTAAAAAGGGGTAAAATTGCAAATGCACAAAATCTGTGTTGGTTCAGTTGGACGCAAATTACAAATCCCTCTTCTTTCTCCCCTTAAGCTGCTCTCGTAAGTCAGAAGAAAGAGGAGCAGAAGAACTCCAGTTCTCATCTTCCTGTCAGATTCTTGCTATGAAGCCTTATAAATCACTTATTCCATCTACATATTTCTCCATACAACAGGTCAAGAAGGGCTGGTTCAAATACCAGAGCATGGAATAGAACTGTGAGCATTTCTCTTACACAGGCTTTTCCAAGAGGAAACACTTTCAGCCAGTAGTCTCTGTTGCCTTATTAGGCCCAGGGGAAAGAGGTACTCTGGACAGCCATGGCTTTCTGTGCTATTAAATCTCTGCTGCATGGGATCATCATTCCCGCATAACCATTTTAGTATATTCAATGAGTGTTCTTTCCAGAATGAAGGCAGGATCATGCTCTTTGAAGAGACTGTGTCAGAAAACGTTTAATAACCTCTCCCATAGCCCCTGGAAAGATGATATTTTTTCCTTTAAGAATTGCATTTATGTCTCCAGAGCACAAGAGCCTCACAGAGCTCAGGCAGTAACAGCTGCAGGGCCTGTTTTCAGCTGAATAGGGCCTTGTGTTTAATTTCATTTTTTAAAAATGCAGTAAGGGGAAGACCAGGCACAGCACAGAAACTTGTTTCAGAAGCTGCAGGGCAAAGGCAGTCAGTGCACACTGGGCTGAAACACAGAGCAGAACCACATAAAAACCATCACCCACTATTGGAAACCCAGTTCCCCCGAGTATTCTGCACAGAACAATTGTTCCACACTCCCTGTTTCCAAGAACAGATGTTTGTGCTTGGTGTCCCACCAGACAGACAGGGGCTGCAGAGCCTCATCTCTGCAGAGACCTTACCTGCCTTAGGACTGCTGTACCAACTTTCTGCTGCCTGAGCTCATGCCTTCAATGCAAATGTGTTACATTGCCATTGGAAACACATCATTTTCATCTAAAGTGAGAAAGTCTTCTGTCAAATTTTTCATGCATAAAATGTGAGTTGGTATAGATCGTGCTATAGTAGGAGTGTCTCAGGTGTTCCTCTCCTTTCATTCCAGTCAGCAAATCATGGGATCCTGCAATCATATTTAAAACCAGAACCTGTTAAGTGGTATTGAAATGAAATGTAAAGCCTTTTTAAGTACTAAATAACGATGCCATTGAAATCCTAGTAAAATACAATATATACAATATTACTACATAGTAGCATACCACATGCCACTATATCATAATAGTACCATCAGTATCTCAGAAACAGTATGGGAAGATTTGGAGGCTTCCTACAAAGTCTTGCTAGTTGGCACGAATTTAACCAGAAGTTTCTTTGTCTCTTTCCTAAAACTCAGGCTCCCAAAGTCATGTGATTATGTAAAAATATCGGCTTTCATTTTAAGAACAAACAATGAAACCAAGATTTCTAGCAATCATTTCTTGTAAAGCTAAGAAATGTGAAACTCTAGATTAAAAAGAAAGCGGCAACTAAAAGAAACCATCAAATATAATTTTCTGCCATGCGCAGCTACACTGCTGATTTTTTTAAATATTTTGATTTGTAGCATTAACATTTAAAAAATTATAAACCCGCAATATTTGCTCTATAGAAACAATGCAATTATTTCATTCCCCACTTTCTTGTGAGCATGGACTATAAAAAAACAGCAGTTACTCATTTGCCTTCAGCTGGAAGGCACAGCAACATCTTTGTATCTCTTGGAAGGTGTGAACTCACCGGTATTCCAGGATGTCTAGGAACTAACCCATGTTGCTTCAGGGCATCTCAAAAGGCTATTTAAAATGTATGAACTGCGTTCATTTCACAGTATATGCAAAAATGGGTATATTTCCTCCACATTACATGCTGTTTCCTGGAGACAGCTATTAAGGGACAGTAGCAATTTCTTTTTCTCATGTCACTGACATTTGAAGACAATTTTGACTGCTAAGAAGCAAATGACAAGCAGATTCATTTCATATTTTTTGTTTAGTCATTTCCTTAAAAAATCCCTTTCTTGGGTAAATATTGTCATTCCATTGAAGGTAAAGCTGCTGCTCATGCACAGCAGCAAGGCTCTGTAGAGAGAGCTGTCAAGTTGCAAAATGAGAAGAAAGAGGAATTGCAAAAAGGATACTTTTGAGTATGAAACAAACCCACTCCAGTACTATCAGAAGCTTTGAATTTGGAGGATTATAATAATTATACAGTATGGTCAACCGACTTCTGATGCCCAGGATCATTCCCCAGTGCTATTCCATTTTACCTTCTTAGATATCATGTACTTCCCCACTTCTGTTTATGCCAGCTTGTAAGCTGAAGCACCCTTTGTGATTTTTAAGTGGTACTGAAGTGCACAATACAGACATACAAACTTGCCAGCACAATCAGACCATCGGGAAAAAAACTGCCCTCACATGAAATAACTGACTGTTAAACAGTAGATTCTTCAAGCACGAACATGCTGTTGAGAAGGTAATTATTCATGCCTATCAAATTTCTATGAAAATCAATTGCAGAACTCCCTCTTAGCTTAGCAGGAATTTTGGGGTGGGGACAAAAGCCACAGGGAAGCACAGAGTCATTCCCAGACGTCTTCTTAGCACACAGTGTATGTTTAACTTTGTAAGTGGATGCTGGAACATGAGTCATGTGCATGCACCACACCTTTTGTTTATCTGTAAATGTCCTAATTTCTTACGCTTACAAAAAGGCAGTGGAAAGTAAAGCTTTCAATTTCTCTGATAGCAGAATGGGATAAATCCTTCTGCTACTGCAGAAAAAAAAAAAAAGACAACCTATTTTTCAAAGCACATAAACAAATAGCTCATCCAGAGAAATCAGTCCTCACAACAACGCACTAGCAGAGGAAAACTGCCAAATAACTTTAGTCATAGGCACGGAACACAATAAATCATACTTATTATACAAGAATCCAAGAGAAAATAGAATTCTTGGAGAGACTCAGCCAGTATGTTATGCAGGTTTTTGTTTGAGCAAAGAGAGGGCGAGAGGGGCAGCAACATACGGCAGCCATGCAAGTATGCCTCTGTGGCTGTCATCTGGTAACTTTTTCTAACAACCAACAAGGGTGCCGAGAGCATAAATATTTTAGAAACACCGTGTACCCTTCTTGTACCAGAGGCAAGCAGTGCTCTAAGGACCACAAGACAAAGTATTTTGTATAAGAACACTTTCTCTTCCCAAAAGTACCACAAAGTCAAGCCAAGCTGGGTTGCCCTGTGTTGGGAAGGAACACTGTCTCAGTGGGTGTCTGAGTCCGAGGTTAGGGGTTCGGGGAAGACAAATGAACTGCTCTGTTAGCTGGCTGCGTCTCACCAGTGTAACTACAGCGGCGTCAGTAGAGTTGTTGTTAATTTATGTTGGTTTGCCATCAGAAACACACCCTGTGAAGTGCCTGGGCTGCTTCCAGGCAACTCCTGGCAAAGCATCACTGGCAGGAAGAAAGCTGAAGATGGTGTTATGGGTTGCTCCTCTCCTCAGCACGAGGCCTGGTTGACTCTGTCCCCTGAGAGCACAGTAACCATAGGGTGCTCCTACCTCTGCACTCATTCTCTGCCA